TCTGAAAGCTGCCTTTGACTCTGTGGACCGCCAAGCACTATGACAGTGTCTGCGGAGCAAAGGTGTCCCCCATAAATTCTTGAACCTCATTAAGGCGCTGTACGCCAACTCCCGCGGCCGTGTAAAGGTCTACGGGAAACTTTCTCCTGAGTTCACCACATCCAGTGGTGTCCGACAGGGCTGTCCTCTTTCACTTTTCCTCTTCAGCCTCGTTATTGATACGATCATGGAATAAGCACTGCCAGCCTCTAATGCCTGTGGGGTCGAAGTGCTCCCTGGGCCTCTGCTCACAGATATCGAGTACGCAGACGGCATAGCTCTTCTGGTATATGATCCAGTGGTAATGCAAACAATACTAACTAATCTAAATAATTCTGCCTCGCGGTTCGGTATGCGCTTCACACCTGCAGTGCTACTGCAAGACCGGGTGGGCTCGAACGCTAGCCTCGTGCTTGCGGATGAACCGATTGAGGTAGTAGACAAATTTGTTTGCCTGGGCAGCTGTATCAGTCCCGGTGGTCTCTGAAGTACATTGAATGGTATTCGGGAGAAATAACTCACCCTCGATAGATGAACTGATCACACTGCATAGGTTGCGCTGGCTTGGCCACGTGTTGCGTATGCCAGTCGACCGACTTCCTCGAAGGGCTCTTTTCGCACAACCACGTGAAGGGTGGAAGAGAGCCCTAGGCGGTCAACCAATGACTTGGCAGCGAAGTATGAAAGCCATTACCAGCAAACTCAGCTGCGCTGGTCACTGCCGTCTTCCTGGATGGGGACCCCGAGACGGGCCACATCAATGGCTACAGACATTGTCAGATATGACCCAGTCGCGCCCTCAATGGCGCTCGTGCATCCAAGCTATTGTTTTCAATGCATAGCTCCTTTTCCAACCCAACCCACCACTTGACAGCCCACTGACAGTGCTAGATTTATGCACCAATTTGTCAGCTCCCGCCTGCAATGCGCAGTTACCTACCCCTCCCCCCCAAACCATCGGTGAACGAAACTGTGGCAGCTACAACCACTGTACGACGAGTACGTGGTTATTACGGCTGACAATGATGATGATGATGCCTGACAGTTTGACTGCGGGTGATACGCTGGCGAACGGACGTGCGTGGTGGCGTTTCTCCGGCAAAACTCTTGGAAGCAGCCGGAGCCCAACTGCGATCCATTGTCTGACACCAAGGTCTCAGGCAGGCCGTGCTTGTTGAATAGCTGGGACAAGGCTCGTAGTGTTCGTTGTTGTTGGCGGGACGGCAGGTACAACTTCTAGCCATTTGGAGAAGGCGTCGACCAAGATGATGTGTGTCACCCCATCAATAGGGCCAGCGTAGTGGATATGCATCAGGGACCAGGGACGTTCGGGTCGAGGCCAGGCAGCAGGCGGAAGGCGTGGAGAGTTCTTTATGGCTTGTTGACACTTCGAACAGTCTTTGACGTATCAGAGATGTCGCGATCCATATGTGGCGTAGCTACGTTTATCCCAGGATGCCCCGAATGAAACTGCTTCGAACTCAGCGCCCAATCAGCAGGTTGACGCTATTGCGAATAGCATAGTGGAGTTTAACTGTGACCCAGACGCTAACACCACGTTCAAGAAATGGTTCCGCCGCTACGAGGACCCATTCAGAGTCGATCTTGCTGCGCACAACGATGCATAGAAAATCCGGCTCTTGCTTCGTAAACTTGGCCCGGCAGAGCTGGACAAGTACTGCAACCTGATTCTACCGCAGAACCCACGCGACAGATCTTTCGATGACACAGTGCAGACTCTGATGGTCACTTTTGGGGAACGATCTTCTCTGTTCAATACGCGGTACCACTGTTTAAGGTTGGTTATGAACGAGTCAGACGACTTTTTGACGCACATTGGCATTGTTAATCGTGAATGCGAACGTTTCAGACTGA